GTTGCTAATTGGCTGCTAAGCCACCCTCACAAAATCCAATTCCTCTTGACTCCAAAATGCTGCCTAAGAGGCAAGCTACCACATCACTGATTGGCTGAGGGCCCAACCCATGCATGCTGACATGTAATAGTAATGATAAAAAATTTTGGACCTGTAAAGTTGGATAAGGGAGATGCTGGGCATATAAAACATTCTGAAAGACATGATGCAACTATTACAAACCTAGTTGACATTGGCCATATTACTATATATAGAAAGCCCCTAGTTATGCAGAGCATTTCAGTTGTGGCCCACAACAGTCTTGTATGCATGACTCACGAAATCGTAATGACACGATTGCAAACAAACCATACCCCGGCTGGGATTGAACCCGTGGTCAGTGTGTCTCAAAATTCCAGCCCGTCGCGTTAGCCACTAGACCAGCTAGCCACGGGCTGGAGTTTTGAGACTGACCGCGGGTTCAATCCCGGCAGGGGTATGGTTAGTCTTGTATGCATATCCAATTTCTCATTACTTTGCCTGTAAGTGCCTCTTTTTGGCATCAATGTTTTATCCTATTTAACCATTTACGGTCAAATTTTAATTTCCCTATTTGGAACATGGGTGCCTGAGCAGCTTGAACTAAACAGTCATTGACAACCTGTTCCACAGGAAAATCACTGAAAATCCTTGAGCCCCACAAAATCTGCTTCATGAAAATTTGGGTCTCTTTACATTGCAGTTAATTCCATGATAATTTTAACTAATTTGATTGCTTTTCCCAGGTTTGTTATTAACCTCTTAATTCCTTTTTAGCAAGATCATTAAAACACATTTCCGTCTGTACAGTCGGTTAAGAAAAGATCCATCTAGAAAGTTGCCAGACTGAACATTTCCTATTACTTAGGCTATTCCCATTAAAACATTTTAGCTTTGACTTGGTAATTTGGTCCCATAATGTTTTGCATCTAGGTTTGGGGGCCTGTAAATCTCAACTTTTTAGTCACTAAAGTCTAATACTGTACATGTAGTCTGTTGCTTTATTAAATCTAGACCTTCAACTCTTTGACATACCCTGCCAACCACCTTTGCCTGGTCCATGGCTGGGTTTAGAGTAGTAACTCTCAACTTGTCAAAACAATATCAAAGGTATTCAGAAGGCATTTGTCATTCAGGTTGGACCCACAATATACTTCCTGCACATGCAATTAATTTTAGCTCTTCAATTTAATTTCTAGCACTTCTATTAGCTGCCCTCTACTGTCAGCATGACAAATTCCTTTTATTAGCAACTGTGATCTTTAACCCTTCTTGGCAATTTTTGTTCATTTTTATCCCCTCTGATGCAATGTACCTATACCACTATCTTTCTATCACTTTAAAATCCTAGAAAACTCGACTGCCTCCTTAAGAGAGTAGGCTAATGCTACCACCACCCCTGCTCAAGAGATGTGCCCCATCCCTTGCATACATACCATGTTTGCCAGAGGTTGTGCTAGTTGTCAATGAATGTGATGGCAAGTGCTTTGCAGTACTTGCTAGCCAGCAGTTTACAGTGCCCTAGACATCCATTAATTGTGCACTTTTCTAGGGAAAATTCTAAAAAATGATTAGGACACTTTCCTTAAACCTAATTAATCCATAGCTGGCCTGTGCTTAAATCTGACCTTCCCCAATTCAAAAAATTGAGGGCTATTAAAATCATACCTCAAATTGTAAAATATTCACTATAAGGAAATGCACCTAGGTCTATTACGTGTGATGTAATCATGTCAAATGTTGCTATAATTATAATTCACTGTAGAAATCTCGTAGGAAAATATTTACACCAAAATAATGCCAGATTTTATTCTTTTTCCTTTGATAAAATCAGTTTCTCCTTAAATAGCAGCTCCTATCTCCTGCTCTTCCCAATCTTTTCCACAATCACTGTTAAGATTGAAATTTTAGTTAATGCTGGCTATTTTAAACTGGTATGTTTAGCTTTTCTTGTAATTTTATCCTCATTGTATTTGACAGTGACCAAGTGTGTTCTGTAAATGGTAGCTTAAGTATGTAATTATGTAGGTTGTGGTCATGTTTAGCATTTTCAGAATTTCAATTTTTTTTTTTTTTTTTTTTTAAGCTTTTCGACATAATTTGCTTGCAAATTTTTAGGCAAAC